GAATGTGCGAGGTTTCTAAAGGAAAAGACGCATGATGCTATGACCTATGTGCGCAATCACGGCCGGCCAGATCTATTCGTCACTTTTACGTGCAACCCTGAATGGAAAGAGATAAAATAGGAACTTAGTGTTGAATGGCAAAAAAGAGGATGGCCGCATTGTCATATGCTGTTTTGGCTGGAGACAAAAATACAGCCCGATCAGATCGACGCAATAATCGTCACTGAGCTGCCTAATAAAGACGAAGACCCAGTGTTATTTGACATTGTCACAAAAAATATGGTACACGGGCCATGTGGGCAAGAAAATTTTAATTCACCATGCATAAAGAATGGCATATGCTCAAAAAAAGAGCCAGACCGGTGAGGACGGATATCGCGTATATCGACGTCGCGACTCGAGCAACGGAGGTCAGGTCGCTACTTTAAACATCCGAGGCACAACGGTCAACATAGACAACAGGTGGATCGTTCCATATGCTCCAATTTTATTTCGATTTTTTAATGAATTGAACGCCCGGTGGCACAGGCAAAACCTTCCTTGCCAATTTAGTGTTGGCAAAAGTACGTCAATCTGGAAAAAAAAGCTGTCGCAGTGGCATCGTCCGGAATTGCTGCAACCCTATTAAATGATGGAAAGACTGCTCACTCTACATTTAAATTACCATTGGCTGTTTCTTTGGAACAACAATCTGTGTGCTCGATCCGCAAAAACGGTCCGCTGGGGCAGCTCTTACAAGGCACTTCGCTGGTCGTCTTTCACGAGTGCACCATGAGCCACAGGGCGCACGTGGAAGCCGTGGAGCACACGCTGAGAGACATCCGAAGCTCAGACCGTATAATGGGGGACGTGGCGTTCGTTTTAGCTGGAGACTTTCGTCAAACATTACTAGTTATAACAAAAGGTACTCGAACTGACGTTATTCGAGCTTGCCTTAAATCATCAACTTTATGGCAATCGATTGAAACTCTTAATCTGCGCACTAATATGAGAGCACATTTAAGTGACAATGACGATAATAATTTCTCACAACAACTTCTAAAACTTGGTTGCAAACAGTCCCCAGGTATTGTTTGATAACGAATTGGGTCAAATCGTTCAGAGTCTAGAAATTCTTGTGAACGCAATATATCCGAACATATAAAATCTTACGGAGAGAAATTTCAATTGGCTCTGTTTGAGAGCGATAGTGTCATCGCGAAATGAATCGGTTAATGAGATTAACAAAATTATTATGGAAAAAGTACCGGTGAATTTAAATCTTTCAAATCTATTGACATAGTAAACAACATCGAAGATACAGTAGTGTATAGCTTGCCGTCCCACGAACTACAATTAAAGGTAGACATTCCCGTAATGCTGCTGAGGAACCTATGTGCTCCCAACATGTGCAATGGCACGAGACTTCTGGTGAAGGAATTACGGGAGAACGTCATGGTAGCCACTATAATCACCGGGGCCGCGGCCGGACAGCTCGCCCACATACCGCGGATCCCCATAATTCCCACGGACTTGCCTATATCTTTTAAGAGGTTACAGTTTCCTCTAAAAACATCATTTGCCCTCACAATAAATAAGTCCCAGGGTCAAACATTTTCGACGGTTGGCATCGGCCTAAGAAAATAATGCTTTTCTCATAGACAACTATGTGTTGCCCTTTCTCGAGTGGGATCTCCTGAAAATCAATATATTTTGTTGCCATCGATAAACACTGCTGCCAACGTAGCTTACAGTGAAGCTTTAAGATAAAACCTGACAAATATAAAATTAAAAAACATTAATATTATATCTGTAAATAATGTAAAAGTAAACCTGTAAAAAAAATACTAAAAATGTAAATTATTAAGTAATAATAAGAATGAAAATGATTAATGACAAACCCTTTTTTAATAAAAAATAAAAAACAAAAAAAAACACAGAAAAATTTGTAAGGAAAATATTAAATAATAATAGGCAAGTTTCTATCGACATGAACAAAAATTTCTTTCAAATACTTAGATTAATAGGTAGATACATTTTTGAAAGCTGTCAACGTCTAATTTAGACTGTATATATTTTATTCGACTCTGCTTTTATTCTAATTACTTAAAAAAACATAGTAAAAATGTATATAATATCCTTATTTATTTGCCCGCCACTTAAACCATCAAAGAAATTGAACATATGTAAATAGACTTAAATACAAATATAACTGTGGGATTGTTTTTAATACAAATAAAACAAGAAAAAACGTTAACTTCGGCTGGACCGAAGCTAATATACCCTTCACAGGTGCATTTCTTTTAGTAACTATGTGTTGAAGCAAATCTTAAGACGTAACTAGCCAGTGGTTTTCATTCAAAGGGTAACATTTTACTAATTCTTTTTAGCCGGGTTGTTTGCTAGAAACATTAAGGTTATTKAATAAAGAAAATAGATCTTTTAGTCGTTTATAGTTATTTAAAATTTTATTTATTACTAACATAAACTTAATGGGAAAAAGTATAATATTTCTATATTAGTACATATTTATCATATATATATTTACAGTTTGCTTTATAAAAACACAGAGCAAATATAATATATATTTATTTATAAATTACATTACTCTATGACTTACACCTAATATTATCGTACTAARTTATAATAATATTGAATCTAACATACACTATGAATATTGGTATATGTATATGTATGTAACATATCTATTTTCTAAAACTTAAAAATATTTCGTCATGATCACTTTATGGTGTTTGATATGTGATACATGAGGTCATTGCAGAATCCATGTTTGTCCATACCCAATCTATTCCTGTTTGCTGTTTTGTTGTGGCGGCGTTGTCCAATGCAGATTGAATACCCGATTGTTGTAATCGAGCCTCTAAAGTGTCAGTTGCTGTGAGGCGACATATGTTAAAGTCTCCATTTATCTGACGGATATTATTCACCACTTGCTCTCTAAATTGTGGCAGTCTATACGTGGGGTTTCTGTACACAAGTGATAAAGAAACTGTGGAATAGTTTACGTTTAATAGTTGGTAAACGTTTGCTGCACATGTGATGTTCCTTGATAATGATCCTTCTGATAGATCTGGGCACCGATCTTGTCGGGATGACCTTGTTTCTTTTTGAGATAAATTCCAAGTCTCAGCAAAGCACAGAATATCAGCAGAACAAATCAGTTTATCTGATCTGATATCCGCAATAGGCTTATTTAGACTCTTTACATTTTGGTAATAAATATTCAGTCGTTGTTCCGATTTTGCGGCTAAAAATCTGTAGCATGTCGTCAACGCGCCTCCTGTCCTCTATCTATTGTGTTGAGTTTTATTGGGATCCTGCTGTCCAAATGGGTTCGAAGGAGAAAATTTTTCGATTACAACGCGCCTTCTGCCCTCAATCTATTAAGTTGAGTTTTAATGGGATCCTGCTGCCCAAATGGGTTCGAAGGAGAAGATTTCCCGATTACATATAATCCATTAGCATTTGTGGCTCTGCTACATCCTACATATAAAGCTGATCTGCTAATTCTACCTTCTAGATGAACCGTAACTTGAGCGTACGTTCCACCTTGGCTTTTATGTATCGTGATGGCTTCAGCTGGAATTACAGGGAACTGTCTACATTCTATAGTTATTTGTTCAGTTCGCTTGTATTGGAATGATCGGACCATGCTCATGATTGGTGTCCAATCTGCATTGCGACTATGCGGCTGCTTGGAACGTGCAAAGCTTCCAACTCTTGGTTCTGCGAGTTTCATCCATAGTCGCACCACCGTGCTTTCAGATCCATTTACTACTAATCCATCACTTGTGCTTATGTTGACTGTACCATATATTTTATCGATGTTTTGAGCTGCAGTGTATGAGGCAATCCCYGTGTTTCTGATGGCTTGAAACCCTTCACAGCTTCTAATATGTTTTCTCTGCTGCGTTCTGTTAAGGAACTTGACTTAATAGTATCCTTCGCAGTCGAAATGAACTCGTCGGTCACCGTGTTCGCCAGTTTTATTGAATTGAAATTATTTGCTCCAGCATTTGAATAAAAGAGATGGATGGCTTCATTGGGTATCTCGTTAGACGTCTTTTTCCTGCTTTTAATTAATTGGATGTCAGCGTGGGTCATATTTCCCTCTGACATGTTGTTTAAAGCGATGGCAAATTCTTGATCTTCACGCTGACGCATTATTTCGGCGAGATCGAAATATCGAAATTGATCCCAAAGCGGAGTTCTTGTAATTGCTCTGTAATGATCATTGCCATTTGTTTTAAGTCACCAAACAAATTCTTCCGCTGAAACATGCAGGTTTTCCAGGATCCGTTCAAGCTCGTTGGATAAAAATTTGTCATATTTGAGCTTATTCTGCTCAATTTGCTTCTTGTGTGCGTTGCAAACACTATCGACATCATTACTTAAGAGCTCGGCCTCCTCATTTCTCCATGGGTAAAACATCATGGCAGTTTCTCTGAAGAAATCCGCTCTTGAATTTTCAACGCTAAAACGTTTCCAGCGTAGAATAAGTGCTTGCTTCCTTTTCCTTAAAAATCCTGATCCATCTTTTATATATACCAAAGTGATCAGGGCGACGAGTAGAGATGAAATCCGGATGTCTGTCTGTCCGTCCGTCCGTGCAAGCTGTAACTTGAGTAAAAATTGAGATATCATGATAAACTTGGTACACGTATTTCTTGGATTCATAAGAAGATTAAGTTCGAAGATAGGCAAAATTGTCCCACTGCCACGCCCACAAAATGGTGAAAACCGAAAACTTATAAAGTGTCATAACTAAGCCATAAATAAAGATATTAAAGTGAAATTTGGCACAAAGGATCGCATTAGGGAGTGGTATGTTTGGAAAAGTGGGCGTGGCCCCCCCCCCCCTACCTCAGGAAATCGGTTCACAACCACGCCTTCTTCCAATATAACGCTATTTTGAATTCCATCTGATGCCTTCTCTGCATAATATATACATTTGGAACCAATGATGATAGCAGAAGAAAACTTTACACAAATACGGTATTTGATGCGAGAGTATAAAATGTTCGGTGACACCCGAACTTAGCCCTTCCTTACTTGTTATATGATAAAAATTGTCTTACTCGACCGAGTTTTAGTGATTCTGGTGATCTAAATGCTGGAGTGCCTGCCGTACTCCCGCTACTTATCATTGCATCTTCGCCGAAAAATTCGTTACAGACCCCTAAATCGGCAATTTTAATGTGACCGCATTCAGTGAGTAACAGATTTTCGGGTTTCAAATCACCATGGATAATGTGTTGATAGTGTACTGTAAAAGGAAAAAGAAAATAACATTACTTAGATATAATAATTACTTTATATTGTAATTGTGTATTGCTAGATTCTATTTTCAACTATAATAAAATATTTGTGCGCTAAAAATTAACATGTTATTCTAAGATGCGCTTATATTCATATAATTAAATATTTTTTACAATATTAAAAAAACGCTTTTTTATACTCTCACAACAAAGTTGCTAAAGAAAGTATTATAGTTTTGTTCACATAACGGGTCTTTGTAAGATCTAAAACTAAAAGAGTTAGATATATGGTTAAATATACCAAAGTGATCAGAGTGACGAGTAGAGTTGAAATCCGGATGTCTGTCTGTCCGTCCGTCCGTGCAAGCTGTAACTTGAGTAAAAATTGAGATATCATGATNTAATGTAGAATATTAATTAGGTCAATTACACCTACAAACTACATACATACATATATTACATTGCGGATAAAATTGATTTGCTATTTAATGAAAAAAGTAATTCATGTCAAATTTTGTAATGATATTTAGCCAAAGTTGCCCATATATGAACTTGATTTTGATTTTTCTGTTTGTATGGCAAATTTTGTTATCTGACCGTTCAAAATTTCTTCTACTATTGTATTGCATCTTACAAATTTTTTCAGATATATAATTACCGTAAGCAGTAATCCATGTCAAATTTCGTAAAGATATCACGTCAAATGCGAAAATATTCCATACAAGAATTTGATTCCGATCATTCGGTTTGTATGACAACTATATGCTATAGTTAACCGATCTGAACAATTTCTTCCGATATTACATTATTTCTAACAACAATAATTCATGTAAAATTTCATGAAGATACCACGTCAAATGCGAAAGTTTGCCATACAAGCCCTTTACTCCGATCGCTCAGTTTGTATGGTCGCTATATGCTAAAGTTAACCGATCTGAACAATTTCTTCGGATATTACATTGTTGCCCTAGAAAATAATCTATACCAAATTTGGTGAAGATACATAGTCAAATGCGAAAGTTTTCTATACAAGAACTTGATTCCGATCGTTCAGTTTATATGGCAGCTATATGTTATACTGGTCCGATATTAGCCGCTTCGACAAATGAGAAGCTTAGTGAAGGGAAAATGACGTTTGCAAAATTTCAAAAGGATAACTTAAAAACTGAGGGACTAGTTCGTATATATACAGACGGACGGACGGTACATCGACTCAGCTCAACATATTGATCATTTATATATATACTTTATAGGGTCTCCGACGCTTCCTTCTGGGTGTTACAAATATCGTGACAAACTTAATATACCCTGCTCAGGGTATATATATTTGTGAAAAAAAGAGTTTTATATCCAAATTTCGAAAAATAAATAATACTACTAGTTAAGATTAAGTTTATTTACTAAAGTGGATTGCAGTGGAAAATAAGTTTAATGTACCTACATATCTCTGAAATTTCTAAAGCGAAAAGAACCAAATTTGCTCAGCGCAAATATTATAAGAACTCCTACCAAACGTGTGAAAATAGATGAAATCTGGAGATAGCTCCGCTCACTCCTCATATAACGGTACTGTTCAAAATTACTAAACCCCAAAGACATTAAATTTTACGGCCAAATGGTATGAGCTTTATTGGAACCGGTGTGAAAATGGGACGATGGGAGTGGACCCACCCACAACGAAAATGAGAAGGTGTGTTTTACTTATAACAGTGTATCTTTGTGCCTCAAATAGATAAATTTTAGCAAAAACTTGATCTCGCCCTTATATAACTAATATCAGGTTACTCGATACTCTATATGATTGGTTCTTTAGTATAAGGCATGTTAATAGCATTTGTTATTAGCAAAAATAGATAATATCGGGTCGATGCTACCACAAATTCCCATATACTATATACAAGTATAATGGTTTTCATTTTTCGAACAAACCGTATGTGACTGTCAGCATATGAGTTACATATAGCAAACATGTGTATATATAAAATCGCTTAGGTTTCGATCCTCGAGTTGACGTTTTACACCTTAAAGTATTTCTCTGGCTTTGATTATTGCAAGAGTATAAAATGTTCGGTTGCACTCGAACATAGACTTTCCTTACTTGTTAATTTATATTTCAGTTTATATGGTATTTTTTCTACTCTCGCAACAAAGTTGCTAAAGAGAGTGTTATAGTTTTGTTCACATAACGTTTGTTTGTAAGTCCTAAAACTAAAAGAGTCAGATATAGGGTTATATATACCAAAGTGATCAGGGCGACGAGTAGAGTTGAAATCCGGATGTCTGTCTGTCCGTCCGTCCGTCCCTGCAAGCTGTAACTTGAGTAAAAATTGAGAT